AGCCCTCCTAGACTTCCAGCAATAAAGCTCTGTGACTATAGAAGGAAAAATAATGTTTTGATTTTAATATATATTTTTATTGATTTCAGAAAGGAAGGGAGAGGGAGAGAGAGAGAAACATCAATGATGAGAATCACTGATCGGCTGCCTCCTGCATGCCCCCTACTGGGGATCGAGCCCGCAACCCAGGCATGTGCCCTTGACCAGAATCGAACCTGGGACCCTTAAGTCCACAGGCTGATGGTCTATCCACTGAGCCAAACTGGCTAAGGCGGGGAAAATAATGTTTTTAATGGGACAATTATCCCAAAGCATCTTCTTAGTGGATTTTCATGATGCTCCTATGAGAAGCATACGCAGTATTCTTACCCCATTTTAGACTTTTGGGCACAGAGAGGTTAAGCAATCATGTCATAGTTCACACAGAAGTAAAGCTACAATAATAGACAGACCTGGAGTATATTTTAGCTCTAATCCAACTCTCTCATTTTACAGAAGAGGGAACTAAGGCCCAGAAAGGTGCAGGCCCCACCCACGGACACAGAGCTAGCAGCAGCCCCAGGAATAAAACTCAAGACACTCAGCCCAACCAACGTGGCTCAGTGGTTGAGCCTCGACCTGTGAACCTGGAGGTCATGGTTCAATTCCCTGTCAGGCATGTGCCCGGGTTGTGGACTAGATCCCCAGAGTGGGGCGTGCAGGAGGCAGCTGATCAATGATTCTCTCTCATCATTGATGTTTCTATCTCTCTCTCCCTCTTCCTCTCTTAAATCAATACAAATATATATATTTTTTAAATGAGACTCAGCCCAGGACTCTTGTCCTGCCAGGCCAGTGACTCAGAGTTCCTGACTCAGCCCTGGATTCATTTTGCTAAACCTTATTGCAAGTCTTGCCCTGGCCAGAATCGCCCCTTCCCTCAGGCATCAAGTGGGCTGGGAGCCACACACCCTGTCATGACAAGTCAGGACGGATGCAGAACTAGAACCCCCAGAGCTCTGATTCCACTGAGCTCTCTGGGTTCCAGGGGGAACCATTTTTTGTTTTACCCAAACATCCCAGCCACTCCCAGGGCTTTCCAGAGGTGACTCCCAGGAAAGTGGCCCCAGCCACCACCAAGAGGGTGAGGCAGGTTGGCACCAGCTTTTAAACCCAAGCAGGTGAATCACCAAGGGGCACAGCCCTATGGCTTTCTCTCCACTCAGCTCCAACCGTGGGCTCCTCGGACGGGATGGGTGGAGAACAGGGAAGAGAGAAAACCTGGTGTTTGAATTGCCAGGCAGAGAGGAGCGGGCCAGGTGCTACCTCCATGAAGCGGAGCAGGAGACCACGGGTGGAGCGCAGAGCGTCCCCGAGAGGACACAGGCCCCAAGAACACCGCAGCCTGGAAGGGAAATGACTCCTCCAAGGCGGTTAGTGTCGAGCCGAGATGAAAATGAGCGCTCCACCTCCCAGTCCTGCCCCCTTTCCCAGGGTCCCTGTGCCACAGTGTCCTCTGCCCCACACCCTGCTCGGATGCAGACAGGGACGTTTCTCTCACCTTCGCAGGGGGAAACTGAGGCACAGCAGATGGGTTAGGGGCAGCTCCAGGAGCAGAGGTGCCTCAACCCTGCCTCCTCCTCACCAGGGACATAGGTCTGCCCCCCTCGACAGAACTACAGAGCACTCAGCTCTGACAGCATTCAGGAGACCCTTTCTTGTAATTAAAAACATTTTAATTAGAGGTATATTAAACATGAAATAAGTATAAGAGAGTTCTTTGTTGTTGTTGTTGTTAATCTTCACTCAAGGATATTTTCCCATTGATTTTTTTTTAAGAGAGAGTAGAAGGGAGCAGTAGAGACAGAGAAACATCGATGTGAGAGAGAGACATCAATTGGTTGCCTCCTGCACGTGCCCCAACTGGGGCCAGGATTGAGGCCGCATCGGAGGTACAGTACCCTTGACCGGAATCGAACCCACAACCCTTCGGTCTGCAGGCCCATGCTCTATCCACTGAGCCAACCCATCTAGGGCTATAAGGGAGTTTTAAAGTCCTGATAATCTCCATAATAATACTTCAGGGCTTTTATGGAAATATAAAATGTCAAATTCTTAAGATTTCTCTTTCTCATTCTTTTGGTGTCTTTTGGCTGGTGTGAACACATGCTCACTGCTTCCTGGGAATTCAGCTATGCCTGGCAACCCACAGGGTCCCAGAGACAGTCAGGAGAAAGGACTTCTCAGGACTTCCCCTCCTGTGGACCCTTGGAAAATACCTCCACCCCCATCCTGCCCTCCACCCCACCTTGCCTGCCAAAGTACCAGGCACAGGCCCAGCCAGGAAACAGGAGACGCCGCTAGTCAATTTCCCCTCCCTTCTCCCCCTCTGTCCAAGGTTTCATAGTTCCAGAACTGGAGCCAACTCCCTGATAAGGGCTGGGTGGGTTTGGGGGAAGAGGCACAGGGAGTGCCAGCCTGTTGGCCTGTGACCCAGTCTCTTCCAAATCACTCACTCAGCAAAACTGCTTCTGCGGAGACATTCATTCCCTGGCTTCCTTTAAAAAGCCGCTCTCTCCATCCTCACCAGGGGAACGGGAAGAGGCGAGGAAGAGAGCCAGGCACCTGGCTGGGTGAGGCGATTCTGGGATGGAGCACCTGAACTGAGAGCGGAGGTGTAACTGCCTTCTTCAGGGCAGTTCCCATCTCACAGATGGGTTGCATTCTACTAGTGAAAGTCTGTTGTTAATTTTCCCTGTAAGTCAAATCAGCTAGATAAACTGTTTATTGAGCATGAACTATACTGGGCACGATGTTGGATGCCCACTGCTTTATTTAATCCTTCTCAGAATCCAGTGGGGGTTCCTCTTGTTCTCACATTGTGGCTGAGGAAATGGAGGCCCAGAGAGGTGACGTAATTTGTCCCTGGCCATCCAGCAGGGTCAGGGTTGGGAACAGAGTCTGGATTCCAAGCCCAGGGGCTATTCCATGATGCCACACTATTTTGAGCAGTAAATAGTCTTCCAGATTAAGCCACAAGAACTCCTTTAATCCATTATGCATCCCAAAATAGTGTACGTGTGCAAAGGGAAAATAAAAAACAATAGGGCTGAAATTCTAACAAATTAGTGCAGAACAATAAAACAGACTTGGGTAGTGTTTAGTTGTCTAGAATACGGGTTCCTTGTGGAAAGTGGCTTTAATGAGAAGAGGACATGGAGGTTGCTAACGATGGGTGTAATGAAATCCACGAAGAGGAGGCTGGATACTTGCAAAGGCTTAGGGGCTTGGGGTCCTGGCTCAGTGTCTAGTTTCATTCCCATTATGTGCCTTTTTCTTGAGGCAGCAGCTATGATTGGAGTTGATCTGAGTTAAGAAATGCAGCAAAGGCCCTGGCCGTCGTCCCGTACACCAACAGGTTGAGGGTTTGATTCCGGGTCAGGGCACATTACTGGGGTGCAGGTTTTTTGTTTTTTTTTAAATATATTTTATTGATCTTTTACAGAGAGGAAGGGAGAAGGATAGACAGTTAGAAACATCGATGAGAGAGAAACATGGATCAGCTGCCTCCTGCACACTCCCCACTGGGGATGTGCCCGCAACCAAGGTACATGCCCTTGACCGGAATCGAACCTGGGACCCTTGAGTCCACAGGCTGATGCTCTATCCACTGAGCCAAACCGGTCAGGGCTGGGGTGCAGGTTTGATCCCTGTCAGGGTACATACGGAAGGCAACGATTGATGTTTCTCTCTCACATCTCCCTCTCTCTCTCCCTCTCTTTCTCAAAATCAATAAATAGCCCGGCTGGTGTGGCTCAGTGGTTGAGCAATGACCTATGAACAAGGAGGCCACGGTTCGATTCCTGGTCAGGGCACATGCCTGGTTCCTGGGTCAACTCTCAACTGCTGAGCCACACCAGCCAGGCATGTCTCATTCTTTAGGACTCTCACATCAAATATCAGCTCTTCAGAGGGGGCTTCCCTGACCTCCTCATGTAAAGTTTCTAAGTTGTTCTCAATCACATCACCCGGTTTCTTTTCTTTATAGCATCAAACTTTCTCCTTTATTTGTTATCTGTGCTTTTTATTGTCTGTCTCCGTCCACAAGTGTACATATAGGTTCCTTTAAGAGTGTCTTGTTGACTATTGCACCTGGCAAAGTACCTAGTACATTGTATGAATAATCAAACAAATGAATGAAAGGAAGTTGCAGGTTTCGAATTCAAAAAGTGCTTCTCTAGAGAGTTACGGTTTCATATAAACCATAGGGTTGAAGTTAAGGGCATTGTTCTTAAATATATCTGCATTTGGGAGGAGGGTAATTGTTTAGGGAGTAGCCAGAATTAGGTGATTAATTCCCAACCCATGCTTGGCAGAGCCTTCAGGGGATCAGCTCAACTCCTGATCAATATGGAAATGTTCTTAAAGAGATGACATGTGTCAGGAGAAGAGTTGAGGCATATAGATAACGTATATTTACATAAAATTATAAGAGCTACTCTGCATGGAGCCCGTGCTAGGTGATAGGTACTGTGGTAAGTACTTTATATTTACTGCTGTGGTGCATTCACACACACACACACACACACACACACACAACCTGTAAAGTAGATACCATTTCTAAATCCATGTTACAGTTGAGAAACCAGTGATTTAGGGAAGTAGCTTGCTAACTGGGATTCAAACCCAGGCAGGCCTGACTCCAGAGCCCATAACCCTACTGTCCTCTGACAATGCCAGGAGATACTCAGGGCAGGGACTGCGTGGCCAGTGTTAGAAATAAAGAAGCTAAGGTTCAAAAGTAATGAGTGACTTGCTCAAGACCATCCCTAGTCCTTGGTGGCCTGGGACGAAGTCCAGGTCCTGACTTTGATGCCAGGGCTCTTTCTGCTGTAGCTCATAGACCCTGTTGGGACGAGGGGTGAGACCAGGCACGATGTATGTGCCATGGACACTTGGAGATCAAGGGAGGGGAAAGGATGCCACACCGTGGGAAAAGCTGATGCTCCTCTCTCCCCCAGGCATTCCTGGAGAGGTATGGATACCTCAGTGAACAGGCCCCCGAAGCTCCCTCCTCCACGCGATTCAGCAATGCCATCAGGTAGGATGGAGGGCTATGAGGGTTTGGGAGTGCTGGGTATAAGCTTAGGGCATCTCCTCCCTCCTGGGGGAAGGCTGCCCCCATGTGTGTTGAGGGGGCCATGCTCCATTGTTCCTCTCCCCAAACCCCCACTCCCACCTGCCCCAGCCTCCTGCTGTATCCAGGGAAGCTCCCCGATCTCACCACCCACTCTCCCTTTGTGGTCCTTTATCTCACTTCCTCCTGACAGGGAGTTCCAGTGGGTGTCCCAGCTGCCCATCAGTGGCGTGCTGGACCCTGCCACCCTCCACCAGATGACACTGCCCCGCTGTGGGGTTGCAGATACTGATAGCCAGGCAGGCCGGACTGAGAGGGTCAGCGCCCTGTTCGCTGGACGCCGGGCCAAAATGAGGCGTAAGAAACGCTTTGCAAAGCAAGGTGAGCACTGTGGCAATCTAGCGAGGATGGGATTCCCCACCATCCTGAAGCCCCATGGCCAGAAAAAGGGCTCCACCTCGGCCTGGGCTGTGTCATAACCTCTTCCCTAGGGTGGGGGAGGGGAGCACAGTGGACAAATAGGACCTCTGGTACTTGAGGACCATGTTTGTGAACAAAGACCTTTACATCAGAATGATACCTATGCTGATGAATTTTCATCGTGCAAGTACTGTCCAGAGCGAACCCCATCAAGCCCACTTAATTTCTTGGTCAATTTGCTATGCAGGGCAGTTAAGCTGTTGCCAACACTTTTCTTTCTATTTTACTGGAGTTATTTTCATCAGAATCGGTTCTTTTTCATAAGAATTATCCAACAAAGATGGGATTCATCGATCAGTTTGATTTTGTCCATACTACATTTTCAGTAGCTTGATTGAAATATAATTCACATGCCGTAAATTCACCCATTGAAAGCATACAATCCAGTGGCTTTTAGCATATTTGCAGAATTGTGCAACCATCATCACAATCTAATTGCAGAACATTTTCATCACCTCAAACAGAAACCCCATGCCCATGAGCAGGCACTCCCCACTCCCCCTCCCCCAGCTCCTAGCAACCATGAATCTACTTTCTGTCTCCATGGATTTGCCTATTCTGAACATTTCATCATAACACATTCCTCCTGTTATGATTTAGTTGTAGGTTTTTTTTCTTCCCTTCACTTCTTCCTCCTTCTTTGGCCAAATCCAGTCTCCCGGGGTCAAAGGTTACTGATCTAAGATTTATAAAGATTTTATTCTTCTGTCAATTCTTCATCAGTAACAAGTTTTGCAGTGTGTGATTTTAACATTGTGATTGTTTTTACTAAGTCTAATTTTCTCTGATCAACTTCTGCAATTTTCAAGATTCCTAACAAAATGGGGTTGTTTGGTCAGCTTTTTACCTGTCATGAATTTTACTGTGAGCCCTTGGGGCTATGGTCTCTTTGAATTTGCATTAACTACCTTTACCGACAATATCCACTGGGAACTAGGACAGAAGGCACATCGTTTGTTTTTATTTCTTAGCTAGTCCAAAAGGAAAATGAGGGCATTTCCCCTCAGCTGTTGGAGGATGGCCATTTCCAGGTATTCGCCAATCCAGTTCAGCTGTGTCTACACTCCCAGCTGCCCCGGGTCCCCAGTGCTGACACTGTGTCCTGGGCAGCAGAGGAGAAGGACCAGGCATGAGCACAGGAGGCCCTGGTAGAGCAGGAAGAGTGACGTTCCTGGAGTCGGGCTCTGGGTTCAGCTGTGTGACCTGAGCTGAGTCACTTTGCTGTTTCCTCATCTGAGTCACGGGCCCTTTTAGGTTGCAAAGGAGAGATGAGCCCTGACAACCAAGGGGAAGGGCTCGCCCTGGCCAGTGTGGCTCAGTTGGTTGGCGCGTCATCCCATATATTGAAAGGGGGCAGGTTGGATTCCCTGTCGGGGCACATGCCCGGGTTTCAGGCTGGATTCCCAGTAGGGGGTCTGCAGGAGGCAGCGGATCAAGGTTCCACTCTCACATTGATGTTTCTCTCCCTCTCCCTTCTTCTCTCTTTAAAATCAGTTTTAAGGGGGTGGGGGGGGGGCGGGTTGTGAGAATACAGCGAGCGGAAAAGGGGGCAGCCCCAGACACAGACTCAGCAGCAGCACTTCCAGGCTAGATTCCATGGAGATTTGGGACGATGCCTCTTGGACGTTCAGGGCATGACCTGAGCACCCAGGATGCTTCCTTCCAGCAGCACCTCATCTTCTCGTGCCCAGAGGGAGAATCTGATGGAGTGTCTGTCTGTCACTGTCCAATGTGGAGCCTCCCTTTTAGACAGAGAGTTGGGCTGAGGCACCTCTCAGGCAGGTGGCTTCACCCCGCCAGCCTAGCCCCGTTTCCTTGTCTGACCCCTGGTCCAGGCAGTGGCCGGGTTACACAGAGAATTTCCCTCTCGGTCACAACATGACTTCACTTCCCTTCCCTCCTGGGTGGGAAGATATTCCCTAGAAGGAAGTTGTAGGTTTGGCAGGCACTGAGCACTTCCTAAGCCTTAGGAAAGAAAATGTAATAGTAACAGCTAACACCTATTGAGCATTGATGACGTGCCAAGCACAGTTGTGAACAGATTAACTCATTTTCTCCCGTAACAACCCTATGAGATCGGTACCATTATTATCCTCACCTACAGGTAGGCAAGCTGATGGACAAAGAGCTTAGGCAACTTTCCCAGGGCCAAATAGCCAGAGTGTAGCCAAGCCTTCTTGTCATTGGAGGATTAAGTGAGATTCCAGATGTGGAAAACCCCAGAATATGGGTAGGTGCTTTAAAAATTTTATGGATTCCGAAGCCAGTGACTTTTCATTATGTGGGCGAACGCTGTGCTGATGGAGCTGGGCTCCAGGGTAGGATTGCCAGATACAATGCAGGATTCCCAGTTGAATTTCAGTTTCAGATCAACAGCAAATAATTGTTTTGTTTTTACTTCCTTATACTAAAATAATTACCTGTTGACCTGAAGTTCAGGTTTAACCAGGCATTCTGTATTCTCATTTGCTAAATCTGGCAACCTTATTCCAAGCACCTGCTCCCCTCGGCCCCTACAGGGCTGATTTTCAATCCCCTACCCCCTCACAGAGCTGGCGGGGTGGGGAGCACAGGGGTGGGAATGGGTAACTACTGAGCACCCAGCGCGTGCCAGGCAGCTTCGGGTTGCTATTTCACTTCTACTTTGCAGATAAGGAAACCGAGGCTTGGGGAGATTCTATCATTTGTTGTGTAAGGTTGTAAGCAAAGGTACTGAGATTCCAACCCTTGTTCTCTCCACAGTAGCAGTTTGCTGTTGGGAGTCAGGACTGTAGCTCGGGTCCTGCCCAAGCAAGGAATCTAGCCCTCCTCCCTCCCCAACTCTTTTTCCTTTTCTCTTCCCTTTTGGTATTTTTTTAATCTATTTTTTTAAATCCTCACTGAGGATATGTTTTTATTGACTTTAGAGAGAGAGAGAGGAAGGGAGAGGGGGAGAGAGAGAGAGAAACTTTGATGTGAGAGAGAAACATTGATCAATTGCCTCCCGTACCCACCCCAACCAGGGATCAAACCCAAAACCTGGGTGTGTGCCCTTACCAGGAATCCAACCAGAGACCTTTTGGTGTACGGGATGATGCTCCAACCAACCGATCCACACCAGTCAGGGCCCCTTTTAGATTTTAGATCAGGGGTGTGGGGTGCAATGCCAGGTGCTATGGTGGCCTGGGGGTTGCCATGGAAACAAGCCAGGCATTTGGGATGGGGCCTGCCTGCTCCAAAGACACAAATCTGGAAGAAGACAGGGGACAGGGCTCAGGCTGCTGGCCCCGCAGTTCCTTCCTTCCTGGCAGGCACACCGACAGCCTACCACCCTGCTCCCCCACAAGGAAAATTGGTCATTTTCTCTCAATTCCTGTTCCTAGTTGTCTCCCTATTCCCTGCCCACCCCTCAGCTGCACAGAGGATTTTTATCCTTTTATCCTTCGCGCTGTCACCTTCACTGACCACGCAGAGTGAGAGAATTGCCCCCCTCCTTGTTCCCTGTCTTTGGAGTGAGGGGCACCCTAGCTGCAAAGGCTGAAGGAGCTGCTTCACAGTTTTCTAGGAGCCTGAAGGTTGGGGGTGGGGAGAGGGAGTCTGGGGTTGGTTAGGCCAGCCCCTCACCCCCACCCCCACCCAGTACCCAATGCACTAGAAGTGCTAGTGGCAGCGCTTCTGGACGCCAGGCCTCCCCTCTCCCTTCGAATTCTTCCCTCTTCCCTCCCCGAGGGTTGGTCACTGCCTGGGACGGGTTGGGTGGCTGCCAGGCCAAACAGGCCCAGGAGGCAGCATTCCCTTGAATGGAGCTTGGCTCAGGGGTGGGAGAAGGGACATTCCCCTCCCCCACTTCCATGGGGGATGGGGAGAGGGAAAGGGTGCTCAACTCCTCTGCCCTCTATGACCCTCCTTCCATCCAGAGAATGTGAGCTCTCGCAGAGCCCCTGCTCTGACCCAGAGGAGTGACGTACAGGCACATTTATAAGCCTCGAGTCTTAGCAAATGTGTCTGCTTACCCACGCAGAATGGAAAATGCACCGAATTAGGTGTCAGGGCCTGGGCTCCTACTCAGTGTGTGACCCTGGGGGCAGTTCCTCCCCTGGTCTCAGAGCCCCAAATAGAGGAGAGGTTGACTAAGGAGATGGCTGAACCCCCACGACTTCAATCCTCTTGCCAGGACCTCCCTGGGACAAAGGGGCAGGAGGCCCGAACCTTCAACTGCCCCGCCCTCAAGGGGAGAGGAGGCTGTGCCCACTCACCTGGTGTCCCAGCATAGTCAAACCTGCCCTGCCCGCTGTCACCCAGGCCCCAGGGATTTGGTCCATTTGGGAAACTGAGGCCCAAAAGACATGACTCTGTGTGTTCCTGAGCCCAGAGTCCTGCCTCCAAGCAGTGAG